ACACACACACACACACACACACACACACACACACACACACACACACACACACACACACACACACTAAAGAAGCACTTGCAGATTGAAATGCCTTCAATAAGCCTTCATTACAGCCCGAAGTTGTTGGAAAGTGCCACAGCTGCTGTGCAAACAAACATAAGCTGTACCTGAGCTGCGAGGGGGCGGGGCTTCAGGAGGAACACCTTTCTTTGAGTTTAGAAAACCTTCATTTCTGCTTTGTCTTCTTGAACTGGACTTTTCTGAGTTAAAAAAAAAAGAAACAAACTATAAAAAGTTTGTTTTTAAAAACGTCCATAGGTTTTAGACTCGACAGTGAAAAAAAATGTTTCTTTAAATTTTTTATGTTTACATTTTTACACAGGTTTTCCTGACTCAGTGGTTAGGTTTAGGAAAGCACCCTGACTCAACAACAGACTCTTTTACAACTTCTTTTTTTTTTTTTTTGTTATTTGCTAAAGTGACACAAGCAAAACCAAATGAGATGAAACTATGAAAGGAAATGTCAAAAAAATTCGGATCAATAAAACACTTGGGTGCACCAWCTGTATGTGAAATATTTAATGATAATTAGAACTGCTACTTTAAATTCTAATGTTTTTATCTAAATACTAATATTCAGAATAACTAAAACTGAGTGAGTCTGTAGGATTTAAAGGAAATGGTTTAATACCAGAACTTAACCATAGACAGTGAAGCTCTAAAGTTATTTTAAAATATTTCCTCCTCCTGTAAGTGTTTCTTAAACTCTACATCTGTATGAAATTATTCTGTTGTAGTGAACCAGAAAAGTCTCTCCAAGAAAACAAATCATTTATTTCATGAGTTTGAAAAACTTGTAACATATTGTGTTGAACATGTTCTTTCTTTTACAAAGATCAAAGCATTATCAATTTATTGGGGTTTAAATTAAATATATTTTACTGCTCAATAATTTTAAATTGTATATCTATTAGGTCTCAAGGTAAAACACAAAATTAGCATTAAATACAGGTTTTGTTGCATTTGAAACATATTTTTAAAAAACAGCCTTGAGGTACTCTGTCAAACGGCACTTTAGTGTTGATACATCTTTACATTATACCAGCTTGTACATCATGAACAGAGAACTGTTTAATCGTTTTATACTTTATATCTAATTAGCCTTAAAGGGAAATAGGAAATAAACACATTTTTGTTTTATTGGTAATATATTTTTTAGAAGTCCAAACACACAGCCTTGAGGTACTCCACAGAACATTTAATTTAATTTATACTTTTTTCCCATTATTTTGTGGAATTTATTGGGTTTTAGACNGTACTCCACAGAACATTTAATTTAATTTATACTTTTTTCCCATTATTTTGTGGAATTTATTGGGTTTTAGACAAAATTCATTGTAATGTTTGATGATTTTTAAAGAGTGAAATAAGCATTCAAAAAAATTCAATTTTTTATCTTTGGAATATAAAAAAATAGTCAAAATATGGGCCAAATGTGGGGCAGTGCTTAGAGCAGCCTCCTCACATCAAGAAGGTTGCTGATTTGTTTCCCRGCCTTTCGGTTCTCCCCGTGCACCTGTGGGTTTTCTCCAGGTGTTATCAGGTTTTACATCATATTTTCTGAACTACTTGATCATTTTACACCTTCGATTGATTATTTGTTTTAGATCAAACACTGATAAAATGTCAGAACATTTCAACTAAAATCTAAGAAAACAGTAAACGATCTGAAGGTTTGAACTGTACAAACATGCTGTAAGTCATCAGTTGACCTGTTGAGTTTATTTTAAAAAAATTTAATGAGTAATCTCTGTAAAAGTTTTTCTGCCATTCTGACTCCATCTTTATCTGACCGGCAGAAAGAACCGACCCGGGGGCTAATGCCGACCCAGATGTGACGCCTGGATCGGGTTTTTAAATGACTGCGTCCCCGTGGAGCCGCTGCCACAGCACAGAAACACACTTTCAGACACACTTTAAGGCCTCAGATGCTCTGAGAGACACTCTTTCACTTCATTTTCACCAACCTCACCTGTTCACCTGTCTCACTTGCTTCACCTGTCTCACCCTCTGCTCAGTCTTTAAAGCCACTTATTAGAATCTTTGCACTGAGGAGTGTCATGATTTGTGATAATTAAAGTTATTTTCGTAAACTCAGATGTTTTACAGCGAACTGTGGAACCAAAGAGGCAGTTTCATGTTTGTTGTTGTTGCTGATGATGGTTTTAAGAGGCCTAAACACTGTATCAGGGTAAACTATCAGTCCATAAATCAGCTCCTTTTTTATTTTTTCATTCAAGTCAAAGTGAAATATTCTTAGTTTGTTGTTTTTGTTAGCTCTTGAATCATTTAGCACACATCTCTGTACAGAACATATAAATATGAGATTTTCTTCTTTGTAACTGTTGGAAAATAAATTTCTTAATAAATTTGTATAAATKTGTTGTGACTCAGAGACCAGGAAATATAATCAGTGCTCTGTTTTACTCAAGGTTGTTAATATTTACTCCAAATTAACCCCGTATTGTAAAGTTTCAACCCCCTCCTGCTGTCCTGAGGTTAAATTTGATTAACCCTGATTTCAAACAGCAGGAAGCTTAAGACAGGTTTAAGGTTAAGAGTTCTATCATGATGTTTAAMAGTTTAGGGAATTGGTTAAACAAGACTTATGCTTTTAAATCCTTTTTCACATTTAAATCCTTCAGTTGGGGTCTATATAAAGTGGAGCTGCAAAGCTTTGGTCTGAATTCCTCCTTATTGTAACTCCACAAGCCCCTCTTTCACCCAGGTGTGTCTCAACTCGWTTTGAGGCTGTCTCTTTAAATCCAAATGAGGAGCTTCACACCCCTTCCAGCTTCCAGACCGGTCCACTCTAGTTTGATAGAGGGGTTTACGATGATATAGCGGCACAGAAACTTTTTATTTACAAATTAATCAAAATATGTCAACAAGGGAAGAATTGTCCATCCAGCCTTATATCTTGGAACCAGAGTCTGACCCAGAGAGAGGAGAATGAAGACCACCAAATTGTAGTTGGTAAGTCCAGACTTTATTTAGAAGTTCTGTCTAAAGTAATTTGACATAATAGTTCAGGAAATATCATATAAAATAGAGAAAATTGAACAGGCTGAAAAAATATGACCCAAACAGAATATAAAGATATCTTTGCAGCACTAAGAGAAACACTTATCTGCACTCTTAGAGGCTCCAAGTACACAGCAAAATGCATTTAACAGCTAAAAAGTGCATTTTGCATATGTCCACTTTAAAATGGAATTTAAGAYATTTCATTAAATTATCTTCTTGTTTGCACATTTTAAAAGTTGATCCAAAGAGCTAAAAAGGGTAATATGTCAAACAGGCATCAAATTTGAAACATTTTAAAGATTTAAACATTTAAACGAACTTCATGTTTCTGTTATCTTTTCCAGATTTACTTTAAAATACAGACTACAGCAGCTGTATAATTATCATGAGCTGATGGGATGTTCACACCCTGTTGTTTCTGACAGAGGTKTTAGCAGTTAGCCTCAAGAGGCTAACATCCACGGGAACAAACCATCAGCGACAAAAAGAGAAATATGTGACCCAGTCAGCCGTCAGTCTTTAATTGCAGATGAAATAATCCTGTAAGTGTGAGCTGAAGGCAGATTTTTACCTCCTAATCTGACAGGCGAGGAGCAGWACAGAGACAGAGACGAAAACAACAGAGGAAAACACTAACACTGCTTTGAACTCATCAAACTGAGGGAAAMAACAAGGCAGAAATGAAGTTTTTCTTATTTATTAAGGCAATTCTGTGAAATAGAACTAAGTTCATAAACACAACCTCTGAGAAACAGCAGGTTTAAAACACAATGGGTAGAAAACTTCATGTACTTTATCTGTATGGTGGCATCAGCTCACACATCTGTAACCTGGAATCTGTACAAGTCATCAACAGTTTCAGTTCAGGATATTTTTCAGACAAATGATTTCAGCTCTGACCTCATTCAGATAAAAGCTCCTAAACTCAAGGAAGAACTACAGTTGTGTCACATATTGTTAATCCCGTACCACCATTAACACGTTACCATCATAAACATCCTACCACCATAAACGGCCTACAGCCATTAAGGCTCCACCATTGTGAATCAAAAAAATGGGAGAACCAGCACTCCAAAAAATACCTTGGTTTTAATAAGGGCAGAAGACAGGACCCTAATAAAAAAGAATAAAAATAAATAATAATAAAAATAATTAAAAAATTATTTGAAAATTAAACTTTGTCTGAACAGCAGCTGAAATGATCAGGGGTTGGATTTATAAAACTGGCGTATGCACAATATGAGCCCAGAAACTTGCGTACGCC